GTTTGTTGACGATTTAGCAAGTATGACTCAAAGAACTTTAGAACTATATCTGACATTCCATAATGAGATAACTTACTCAGTAGTATCTGATGATTGACCATATCAAAGGCTTTCGAGAAATCTAACAGTACCAAGACGGTTTTGATGTGATTATCTAAATTGTGAATGATGGAATCAGTAAGATGTAATAAAGACGAAGTAGTGCTGTAACCAGCTCTGAAACCTGACTGATGTAGAGGAAATAATTGATTTTGTTCGAAAAACTGCACTAGTTGCGAGTATACAGCTTTTTCGAGTATTTTTGATAGAAAGCATAATAAGGTAATTGGCCTGAGATCCGAATATTGTTCACATCACAAGCATGAAAAACTTTTTAAAATTCATTTAAGCAAACATCGAATTTTTTAACGGTCGACCATGTTCTCTTTTTATACGAAACCAATTTTGTATTAGTGATCCTAGAAGAAAGCATTACTGTCATTAAAGGATCTTTCAGTTTTCCATCTTGCTTTCAGAAAATTTTCTATATTGTTTTAAGTAAATGTCTTGCATAGTTATCGAGCACTATATTATATCTTATCGAGATAAGATATACAGTTAAATAGATATAACAGAATTTTACAAGTACAATGCCAATTATATTTGTAAGTGAAGAATTGGCGTCAAGTAGATTGACTAAATACTTCCCACAGCTTCCTTACGGCTGTGGGACCTATAGAAGTATACAAAATTTCAAAATCTTCAAATATTGAAAATGTCAAAAAAGTCCATTCAAAAGACAAATAAGATCGGAGATAGCTGAATATGTTCACTTAAGTACAGGGTGGTCGATATGTAACTGACTCGTTTGTATCTTGAATATTTGTGAAATGAAATAAAATACGTCCATTTTTTTTATCATAATATTTTATTGAAACTTGGAAATTATGTATGTAAAAATAATATCAGACAAATGAGCCCTCTTGATTACATTTTCCATTTTCCCCATAAAAAAGTCAGGAGCCATTAAATCCGGTGACCTTGGTCGCCAGCTGACATCACCAAATCGAGGAAATAAACGTCCCGGAAATTTTGTTCGTAAAATATTCATTGCTAGGGAGCTGTGTGACAAGTTGCTCCGTCCTGCTAGAACCACATGTTTTGCAGGTTAAATTGTTGGATTGAGGAGCCAGAAAATTTTGCACCATACCACGGTACCGCTCGTCAGCGACAGTAAGAGCCTGCAACGTATTTAAAGAAGTAAGATCCAAATGACACCTCCATACCAAACACCGCACGAAACTGTGACTCGACGAGGATGTAGTGGTCGTTGATGGATGACACGGGGGTTCTCTAATGCCCAGATATGATAATTCTGCTTATTAACAAATCCGTTCATATCGAACTGGGCTTCATCGCTCGTATTATCAGTTGTCGGTAATAATCGTTATTTTGGGTATTAAACTGCAATATTACATGACTGTATTGTCGGCGACTTTCATGCTCACTAGGCTATAGTTCTTGGGTTAACTGAATTTTGTATGGCCGCAAATGCAAGTCTTTTTTCAAAATAGTGCATAATGACGTGCGACGAATAACCAGTTCTTGAGAACGATGTCTGGTAGACGTCTCAGGGCGCTCCACTACACTGTCACGAACTCTCTCGATGTTTTCCGGAGTACGAACAGTTCGTACACGACCCGACCTTGCCAAATCTTCAACTTCACCTGTTTGTTCAAATTTACGGACCCACTGACGAATGGTGTTGACACTGGGCACATTATTTCGATCGAAATCTCGTCGTAGCGCTCCATCATGAATTGGACGCATGTGCTTTAAGCAACTACTACGGCGCCATCTACTGAAGTGCGTATATCAAAAATGGCGTCCTGTATTATATAAAATGCCCTTTGATCTAACGCTGTATATTGCTCAATAAACTAGTAGTGATGTCCGAAAAATAGGTGATTTGGGATAAACAATTAGAAACTCTCAAACACGACTTGACCAATCTACTCCAATTTTGTTATGGTTATTTTGAAGTACGAATCCTACGAATTTGAAATATTTCAAATATCTGCAAGAAATCATCGTCGCATTACCAACAAGTGCCAAAACCTGCAGTTTGCCTCAGTTTTCGGCCATAACTTTTCTGCTATTAATCGGATCTTTTTACGTGTACCTAAAAATCTTATATGAAGAGTTTTAGAGTTTTTTCGTTCCTACTAACATTTTCGATTGAATCCCAAAAAACATGTTTTCTTTTTCTCATTCTTTGATGTCAAATAAAAGTTTTCCCACAAAAATTGGGGTACCCATTTTATGCGTCCATGTTTTGAATTCCCCCTTGAACAACTTGCTTGAATAATACCAGACTTTACAATTATTCCGCAAACCAAGGCTATTTTCATCTAATATTATTATACGTATATTAGTATCTGGTAAATTTAGTCCGTATTGTGGGTAGAGATATCGATGCTAGCATAGACAAGAAACAGTTAGTATCGTCGCATCTGCTCGGAAAATATTCAATTCTGTTTTTTGCATAATCATTTTCAAAATGGACTCTTTTTAACGAATATGCATGTTATTCGGCCAAACAAAACCCAAAAAATGTTCTTTTTTCGCTCTGGACGGTTTTTGGGTCATACAACGAAAAAGGTTCTTATTGACATTTCTTCAAAGTTGATAGCTTTCTGGAAATAATATTTGAAAAACTGCAAAATATGAGCAATGTTTGACCTGAAAAGTATACGAAAGAAAACAGAACCTTCAAATTTATACTGAAGCAGCCTTGTACAGAGTAGGGCGGTTATGTGGAGAAGAGTACTATGATACAGGGTGCGGCAGAGAGGACGGACGTTTTTGGGATGAGTAGTACTCTCCGCCTCCGTCTACGAGAGAGGTGGGGAGGGTGCGTGATATCCATTAGCATTATTTTACCAGTTGTCATTATGGAGCCTTGGAAGATGGAGCACGTTTTCGCCTATGATTGTTTCGTCCGAAATAATGAGTCAGTCATCGTCGTACAGCGTGAGTTTCGTCGCCACTTCAACATTCATCGGAATAGAGCTGTTCCCTCTCGAAACACCATCCTTCGTTGGGTTGAATCACTTCGCAGGCGTGGTGAACTGATCAACAGAAGACCAAGAGGAGCGCCGCGAACAGTTCGAACTCCTGAAAATGTTGAACGCGTTCGACAGGTCTTTCTTCGCAGTCCGACTCGATCTGCCCGGAAACATGCTGCTGCACTTCGCCTTGGTGATCGTTCGGTAAGGCGAATTTTGCATATGGAACTCCGCTTTCACCCCTACAAATTGGCCATTGTGCAACAGTTACAGCCCGGAGATTATGCACAACGAATGAACTTCGCACGTGAGATGGAAGCACTGATCGATCAAAATGAGAACCTCATTTTGTTTATGAGTGACGAAGCTCACTTTCACAAGCCACAAGCCCCGAACTCTGGACGAATTGAAGGGCGAAATTCGCGTGGAAGTCGCCCAAGTTGAGAGAGCGATGTTGGAGAGAGTCTACGCGAACTTCCAAGAACGCCTCCAGCACTGCATCAATGATTTCGGCCACCACATGCCTGATGTGATTTTCCACACTTGACTGTCTCAAATGCTATTTCCTTGTGAACCTGATTCCATCAATAAATTTGTTTTCGAGTAAAAATTAACTATTTTATGATTTTTTTAAAACCGTCCATCCTCTCTGCCGCACCCTGTATAATACTATAATACTACTACTGGCCCTAAAAAAAACAACAAGCATTTTCTCAGCAGATGCCTCTATTGACGAGATGTGTTCGTGCTTGATCAAGTCCTTGGTGATCTCGTATCTTGAAAAGTGACATTATGCCGATTTTTTGATATTATGCTGTTTTTTTGACATTATGTAGGTTTTTCTACAAGATGTTAACTTAGTTGTACGTGTTGCCTAAACGTCACGAGGCTTGTTATCAATATTTGGCTCTGATGTGATGTAAAATCTGCTTCTGAGATGGCATTACTGGAGGTCTAAGCTGTAAGTTGTATGTGTTGATGATTGCATTGGGTTCTTGTCTCAAATACACTTAACTGAGACTCAAAGCTAGAAATTAGTTGCGCATCCACTTTTTCTTATCCATTCTGGAAATTACATATACAAATTAAATAAAATAATTATATTCACTGTGCACTGTCGAAGTACAAGCCATATACATGCTAACTAATAATAACTTTGAACATAACCTCTCTTCAGAAAGCACAACATATAAATAACCCGTCGTATTCAGCTTACTCAGTAACGATTTTCAAACACAGCAAATATCACTGATTTTATACACATGCAGACCAATACGCATAATCATCCAGATCAGCCTCACAAAACTATGCAACCAATAATGCGTAGTTTAGTTGAGTGATTCCTCCATAGATGGACGTTCACAACGATCCTAGTGAGCAAACGTGGAATGACTGTTTGCGCCCTAAAAACTGCCTAGTCTGCAAGTTGAGATCTTATACGTTTTTTTTTGACGTTTTATAGGTTTTTTACATTATACCCGTGCTGGACTACGTTCAGCCGAAATGAACGGCTCTTTGGTAGAGCTCGGCCATCCATCAGAACCGAATGCTCGGTAGGGAGCTTCTTGTAAGTCACGGTACACTTCTGTGTTTTGGAAACATTGAACTGTTGCCTCCCCCAGCAGTGATAACCTCCAAAGGTCTCGGTTCTTACTACCTACCAATCCACCTGTTCATTTCCTCGTGGAGCGCCCTGTATATAAGAGTGTGCAATTCTAGTTTTTCAAATCCGATTTGTGAACAAACAGATATTTACCTACATGACAACGCCTGAGGTATATACTGACGCGTCGTTTTTTTACCTAATCATTCCATGGAGACCATTGGCCTTTTTTGTTCGGAACCTAAAGAACTTGTTCAGCTTAAGGCTTTGCCATAAAAAGTTGCTCATTTTTTGCAAAAATAAACGTCATGTAAAAGATATGCCCGTATTGATATTACTGTTTCTTCTAGATTTGGTCCAGACTATTACGCGAAATTGGCCGCCACGCCGAGCGGGGGCCGAGTGGACTCACCAGAGGTAAGTTTGAGCAAGAGGATAAACCAACTAGAGGAAGCGTCGATTTATTCTAGCCTGCCAAGAAGCTTGTACACATCCAAAAACTCGAGCAAGAATTTCGTTAAGAACCCCTTGCTTAATTTCCCAGAAAACCAGAAATCATTGTGACGTTCTACGTACGCAATTCTACCTCGGATAGCTGTCCAGAGCCATTTTGTATATAGTTTTTAGTTGTTGTTAGCACCCAGTTGAGTATTGTTAAGATATTGTTTGAATAAACATAAAAATGAATATCTCAATATCTTTGTTTCGAAATAGATATAATGGCTTACGTGAAAACTGGTAAGTTTTGTGAACGCTTCAAACTTTTATAACAGCATTATCATCAGTGTTTCAACTAAATGCATACATACTATTAAAACTATAACGTACCTATTAGATATTTTTGTACCCTGAGGTCTAATGGTGGAAATATAACTTGTACAATGTGATGCCATATCAACGCAATACTAACAATACTCAAAGCTTTTGTTAAACATTCTTGTCATTTGCTATATTATTACGCTTCAAACATATCATGTCCATTTTATATCATTGCGTCATGAGATCTCTGGACTAAGACTAAACAACCGTGTTCCATATGTCCATTTTTGAGTTGGTTTTCTAACACAATTATGTTATATTGCATCAATACAAAATCATCGAACGAGATACCGTAGACTGAAAAGTTCCATATTTCTTATTTTGTATGAAAAAAATCCTGCAGTCGTTTTTCTTAAATAACCTGTATATACAGTGTTTTCGAATAATAGACGGAGATATTTTAGACGGTAATTCCTTGTTAAAAAATATGAAAAAAGTTCCTATAAACACGGGTCCCGAAATGCAGAATTATCAAGATACATGGTGATAATTTTTTTTTAATATCTTAAAAAATATATACTCGATTCTACTGAAATTTATTATTGGCTAAAAATGTACGCCACTGCCTTTTTTGTAAATTTAATATTTGTTGTTTGATTGAGCATCTAAAAATACAACTTCTTTGCCTCTTGAATTTTTTCGTATCTCACTTCGTTTTCGAGAAAAAAATAAAAACCACTTGTTGCATTCCACTGGACAAATTGGTTCATTAATTTTTGCTAAAAAAATTTCTTCACACGCATTTTCGATTTTATTTTTTAATTCTTCTATTGTTTCTATGAGAGTAGCGTAAACCATCATCTTAAGGTGCCCTCATCAATAAAAATCTATTGGATTTAAGTCAGGGGAGCGAGGTGGCCAGTGAATTTCATTTCCTCAGCTCATTATCGTTATTTTTCGATAGCTATATAATTTTTACTCGCTTACGTATAGTAGTAATAGGCGAGGACAGAGCCGGAAAACAAAGTGACTTTTTCACGCATCGAAAAGAATCATATAGTCGAGCAATTTTAAAAAATCGAAATTTCTGAACAAAAATGGATAAAGAAAAAAAAAGACGCTATCTTTGAGTCCGATGTCCGGGCTTTCTCATGCAAAAATCGTCAGGTTCGCAGCTCCTTTATCTTCGGAGGAGATCGAAAGTGAACGTCGAACAGCACGAAAATCTACCAATTTTTCGACTTTACCGGCCGATTTCGATCTGGTTTCTTTCTCTCACCGCGCCGGCTGTCACTCCCCCGTGAAGCGCCAAGTTTCTAGTTTCCGAAACGGTATCGTTTTCCTTCCGCACGTTTCACGAACCCGGAAAAAAACCGAAAAAATGGGAAAGTAGCGCGTAGTCGAGGAATTCAAAAAAATCGAAATTTTCGAACGAAAAGGGATAAAGAAAAAAAAAGAAGGACGCTATCTTTGAGTCCGACGCCGGGGCTTTCTCACGCAAAAACAAATACTAAAGTTACAAAAAAGGCAGTGACGTACATTTTTTGCCAATAATATTCGCTAAGGCGCCTCCCGGGACGCCACTGGACCTAATAATTTTAATCTATTTCGGCCTACATTAGCACAACAAGCTACAACAGATGATATTACCAAATTTCAACAGAATCGATTAAATAGTATTTTTTAAGATATTAATAAGACATTTTTTTTTAATTTGTCTTGAAAACTCTGCATTTTCATAGCCATGATTATCGAAAAAATGTTCATATTTTTGAACAAGGAATCACCCTCTAAAATATCTCCATCTATTTGTCGAACGCTCTGTATAATACTACAGAGTACTAACCAGTTTGGAGGTGATGGTGTACATGGAAAATAATTTTCATTTAGATTTCCAGGGACGCATGACCCGCTGATTTTTTTACACCATAGTGGTTCAAAGCAATATTGTACTTACCTGAAAAATTCGCGATCTCAATTTCGATAAAATGAACCGTTTTTGAGAAAAACAGTTTTATTTCAATACAAATCGATAAGGCCTAAAACTTGGTTGAGTAATCTGAAAATGTATATGCCTGGGTTTTTTCTGGTCAATGATTACAAATGTACTATCAGAACTGCTGAATTTTCAAAATGGTGACACCGCTAGACCGATTCCATACTAAAATTAATAAAACTTACTGAACAAAAACGTTCGTTATATTAATGTCAAAGAAGAAACACATTTTTCAGTGTAAAGAACAAGCTTTCCAGAAATCTCGTAGCTGAGCTGTTTAAAAATTACAAAAGTTGTGTTAGGCTAATCCGTCTCTGCAGATCTAAATGACTTGTTTTGTACAACGAAAACCAAATACCTCTGACGTCGTAATGTGTACGAGAGAGAAGCGTGCAGTACGTGTGTTAGAAAGAGATAGAAGCACCTCGTTGCCTCGCAACCCGAATACGAGGTCACGGATGCCATCGGTGCACTCTTTCTAACATACATATTGCACGCTTCTCTCTCGTACACATTACATCAGTCAAATTTGAACCTCACCGTATACGCATCACGTGAAGCTAATATCTATTACTATGCATCCTAGAACGTCAAGATATTCGCGAATACTCAAGGGATATAGTATTGGTAAAATAGTTTTGGTTTAATATTGTTCCCTGGTTATTCACTAGCGAACTTGAATTTGACGTTGAGCATGACCTTGAAGGATTAAACAAGGTCAATACAACTTTTTTAATATGACCCTATACTTTTGACCTAAACTGACATAGCGGAAAATGTTATGATCACATGTGACCTCGGGTAAGCATTATATTGACCTTGATCGTCTTGGTCAAAGTCAACGTAAAAAACCTTCGCTAGAAAAGTTTTCAGAGATATTTTTAAAGATATGGCGAAAATAAGGACCCAAGGATATCAGAAGCTTCAATTTTCTCTGGCATTGAAACTAACATTTACCTTGGCCTTGAGGGTAAAATCAATGCCAAGACAGTTTTCTCTGATAGCTCAGCTCAGAAATAAATATAATGGGAAATTCTACATTTAACCTTGGGACATAGTTATGTTGACTTTCGTCTTCCTTGTCAAGGTCATCGTGAAAAACATTGGTTTGACAAGATTTTAAGGATGTTTCTAAACATAAAACAAAAATAAAGACCGAAAGACAGAAGGGGCTTCGAAATCCCAGGCGATTCACTGACCTTGACCTTGACCTTGACTAATCAAGGACTAGACATTTCTTGAATGGTACCCTAAACTTGTAACTCTTGAAATGGATACAGCGTAAAATTTTATTTCAGCCTGACCTTGACCACGAACGTTCAAGGTCAAAATCATTTCCGCCAAGGTCATACATACATTAAACATACAATTTTTCGTTCAATCCGTTTTCAGAGTCAGAAGTCTAGGGTGCCCTGACCTTCAGGGTCATGATTAAAGTCAAACTCAAGGTCACCACTGAATAGCCACGGGGAAAATCCCGAACTGCTACTATTGTACCTTATTTTGCGTAAATATTCCCAAATATCTTGATGTTCCGGGATTTTTTGATCACTCCGTATTAAAGAAAAACCGATTTCCGATACCGTAAAACGGGGTTACATTGCTCCAATTTTACGTACTATTTTAGGATTACTATAAAAACAAATCATGAAATTTAACTAAAACCCATTATTCGTTCAGTACTCACAGATTATACCTAATGGAATGAATATTTGTTGGAATTTGCATTTTAGATTGTCAACAATACATATTTTTTTTTAGTTGAAAAGTGGAGCAAAGTATATCATAGCTTGGGATTACTTTGCTCCATTTAAAAAAATATGTTATAATGCATTCACCCATATAGGTGGAGCAAAGCTACGTGGCTGATTTGTCAACTTTTCTCCAAGAAACATAACTATGAAGCAATTTTCTTCATATTTTCTTCCAAATATATGTTATTAAAAAAAATCGAACTTACGGAATAATATTCTTTATTTGTATGGACAACTCAAAATAAATCATACAAAACAAATAGAAACATAAGAAATAATTTTAACATAGATCAAAAAGTGGTGTTAACTCAGGAACAGAGAAGGTTCCTCTTTTGGAAATTTTCTTGGGTGTAGCAATGCCGCCTAGAACGTCAGACCAAGGGTACGTTAGTTCGTCGCGTCTTGAAGGCCATTTCCACATCTTAAGGGACTTTTCCATCGCGTTTATAGTAACTTTTTCGTCATCAAAAGCTACAATTTCCCCTGGGAATAATTGTCCCATATAGGAGAATACTACGAAACGACCCACTTCTCGGATCACGTTCGCAAAATGAAATTCATTTTTTTGACCTTCTATAAAACTCATAAATTCCTTTTCTATCTGTTGATCTTTGTCCAACTCTTCAAAGTTGACATCGTCCGAAGAGTTGTCATCAAATACTACATCTTCATCCTGTCTGGAAAAAGAAGCAGTAAGCTCGTCTAACGAGGTCTCTTCAGTAATTATGGATTCATCGGCGCTAACGCTTTTTCCAGCAGGAACGTTTATCTTTTTTCTACGCTTGGTTGTAGTGTTGGTTATCGCTGTCCGTTTCGCTTCAAGAGATTCTAGAAACGCTGATTGAACTACATCCGGATTGCAAGTACTCCTAGGGATACGGCTTAGGACTTCTTCGATATTCAAGGGAAATATACCGCACTTTCGGAAGCCAGCTTTTAAGTTAGCCTCAGCATATGGCGTAATAATTTCCATCAGCTTTAATAACAATGGAGGAAAGAATTGTTTCTGGATATTTGTATTTCGAACACCTTCTTCACTGTTTTTCCAATCTGATAAAACTTGACGCCATGCAATTTTTAAGGGTCGAAAAAATGCCACGTCAAGTGGCTGTGTCAGATGGGTACTGTTGGGTGGAAGACAAATTAAGTGTATTTCGTTTTTGCGACACAGATCGAGAGAATGTATTGTTATGTGAGAGGATAAGTTTTCACACAGTAGAACTTTTTTTCCTTCGATCTTTTTAAGTCTAGGTATCATCTGACATTCAAGCCAATCTGTGAATATATTAGCATCAAACCACCCAGAGCTACTTGCATTATAACGGCACCCTTTTGGGCCGTTTTCTGCCCAGGTAGTCCACATCTTATGTGCCCTGTAAACTACATATGGAGGCAACAGTTCTCCAGCGGCGTTACCACAGAACATGATGGAGATAGATGTTTTTGATGCATTTCTAATAATTTCTGGATACTTGGTTCCTTTCTTAACCAGGACTTTTTTTTTGCCTGGGTCGTCTGTGAGGTTGGTTTCATCGAAGTTCCAAACGTTTGATGGAGGAACGTCCTTCAACTCACCAGCCAGGTTTTCGAAAAAGCTTCTTAATAACGGTTCATCCACTGCAGCTCGTGTACGTTTGATATTTTCTGCAAAACGTATTGAAATTTCAGGATGTCTAATTATAAAGGCATTTGTCCAATCTTGTCCTGATAAATTATCGTGAAAGGTTTTCACTTCCCTTCCGCAGCGACTTAAATAATTTTTGATGATGTGTCTCAATTCCCTTGAGTTGATAGGGAACCCATATTCTCCCAGCGCTACGATGCATTCGACAAATTGGTGTTCTTCTTGAGACGTGAATATAGGCTGCTTTCCTGGTTTTTTGCAATGGTTACCTTTGAGTTTATTTAAAATTGTTCTTCTTGGAATTTTATACTTTTGTTCCGCTTTTCTGTGTGATATGTCACCACTTCTGATTTCAGCCAAACACATTTGCAAAGTTTCGGCTGTATAATCTGCATACCTCCTCGATCCCACTCGTCTTTTGTATTTTCTAGGCATGCCTGTAATGAAAGGGATCATATGAAAATCATAAAGCAGTCCAAAAATGATATACCGCATACTACAGAAACTATAAAGGAATTTAGTGGGGTTACTTTGCTCCGGAGCAAAGTAACCCCAAATAATTGAAATTTTGCCTGTCTCAACAAGAAAAATATTATCTTACTATTTTATCGTTTATGAAGGGTAAATTTATTAACAACATATTCTAAAATGATATTAAACTAGTACAAAAATACTCACTTGCCAGATAAAATGAAAATATCCACTGCACACAACAAATTTCCACGTTCAAATTTCTACAGCTTTTTTTGCTACCGATTCAGCCTCAGTCTGTTTGTTTACTAATGCTGGTGGAATGATGGTTTAGGCGGGAGTCTTTTCCAGGGAGGTAACCTTCAATATTTTGCAGTTTGTTTGGTTGCATACCTATCTCTTCTAATAATAAAAGTACGAATAAACTCTTTTCGGTCAAGGGGCAAAGTAACACCCATAGGAGCAAAGTAGCCCCGGTTTACGGTATCGTACTTTTGAAAATCGGAAGGAGAAATTATGGTCATTACACACATCTGAATGTCATGCTTTTTCCGAAATTCGCGCCTGTGGTCATAAAAGTTTAGTCTACAGTATCTCAATGTTTCTCTAGCTAGACTGATCCTAATATTTTGATAGGTTAACGATTTCATCTGGACTCCAACTAAAGAACGGGAAACCGAAGAGCAGGAAAAGAGCATGATAATCGAAGATGTATTTTCAAGTACCGACGCTGGCACTCCAACACCCAATGCCTCGCTAAAATCAGTACCTATTCTATCTCCAGAACCCAAAACAGAGCTAGAAATGACCAGTGACAGCGATTTGAGCGTAGTCAATTGCTACAACATCGCAAACTCTGAGGTATCTGTAACTCCCAAAGTACGAAACGGCACCATTGACAACGCTAGTGCTAGTGAGTCTGAGATAGAAGTTGTCAAAAAAGATATGCCAGAACGGCCAAAGTACCTAAAGCTGAACTCTGCAGCACCTTCTAGATCGCTGAAGTCACCGCTTGAAATAACCAGTTTGAGAAGGCACAAAAGTGAGACAGACTTACTGTCCGAGGATTCTTTCAATAATCCTCCAAGAATTCTCGGTCGGAAAAAAGATAACACCTTAATTTCAAAGATATATCAAGATCCACATGTTCGAAAATTTGCACTATCAAGTAGGGATCATCTACCTGTAGAAACAGTGAACTATGGCAGATACGATGGCAATCAACTTTGTTACAACTCAGATGATGGATTTCCCAGAAGAAAACTCTTAAGCTACGATGATGATTTATTGAGTTCAAACGTAGTTAGAAAGAACGAACAATTTAGAGGACTTAGAAGAGTCCAACAGAATTTAGAAAAGGGACAAAGACAACACATTTATAGTTCCAGTGAAGACTTGCTCGGCAACGACGAATGTGAGAAAACATCGCCAAGAAAAGATAACACTATAGTATCTAAAATATACCAAGATCCGAACGTCAGAAGTTTCGCTTTAACCAACAAGGAGCGGGAAAGTTTACGTAAAAAAAGTTACAGTTCGGAGGAGGATGTATTCTCCAACAAAAGTTCTCCAGGCTCGCCGAAGTTGTCTTCTACCAGATCAGAAAGTTGTTTAAATGACACAATCGCTAAAAATGAAATAGAAATAAAAACACGTTTCGTACATACGCCTGATCCAGACATTGATGAACTCTCGAAAAAGCAGATCGTTCATAATATCCTAGATCGGATGTCGAGATCTCGAGATGTTTCGCAGGAACGAGGTCGAAAGGATGGTTATATCACAGATGAGGAGATCAATGTCTCAGTCAAGGACTTGAGAAAGCTGTTTGAAAGCAATGAAGTAAGTATTCAATACTTCGCGAAATATTCAGATAACGAATAGTTGACAGTTCTCAAAGTTCGTTTTCCGATTAGGGTATTCTCTACACAAAAAAACATTTTTAAATAGATTGATTCATGTTTTTTTTTCTGTATTTCGCACCGAAGGGATCAGTCAATCGGATTTCATTTTTATTCCGGATACCGATAGAAGGTGACCCTACATTTAATCTCAAACTATCAACGTCAGAGAATAAAGGTTATTTTACTCACTTCAGTCAGAAACTCAGATGGTATAAGTGAGGTTACAATATTACGGCATTAAGTTCGGAATTTTAGGTTTGACTGAGAGTAACACCCTCAATATATTTTTGAAAGCAAGATATAAATAGTTCGTTGCTGTAATAAGAATTATGGAAAATATGTCATTCCAGTGGTAAAGATAATTTTCCGGTTGCAATACTATTTAAGATAAAATGAAAGTTCATAACAAAAACGTGACATGTAGATAAATATATTTTTTTAAATTTGCGCATTTATTATCTCAGAATTTATATGTTTGTGTAATTATGAAATGCTGATTTCAATATATCGTCAGCTTACTGCGAAAACAATTTCCACGTCACCGTTATCCCCATTTTACGACCTGATTTAAATGTTGCCAAACATGTAAATTAAAATTACCTATTATAAACTTAGTTTTTTGAGTTATCTGGTTCTTACAGTAACCCGACGATATGTGAAATATACACAAGAGAATAAATCTTTTTCTTTTCAGGCTACAGGCAAGGTGATTTCTAGTCTAACTGCCAGAAGTTTATCCAAACAAATTAGAGAAGACTTGAAGCAAAAGTAAAAGCCACACAGTGCAATTGTCTAATAATTTTATGGGCAATTATACATATAATTCCCATATGTACACTGATTTGGTTACCTAACTTCCAGAGTATTATATTTTTTAATTATTTTTATTTATTGTGTTCAACACATAACCCAAAGATATTCGTTTTAAAATACATCCTTTATTGTCATACTATGTACATAACAAACTTAATTATATTAAATGTATATTATGAGAAATGTATGCCTTCCTGGTTGAAAGCATGTAGAATCCTGTAAAAAATGATTGTACTTTAAATAAAGAATTTTATTATTGCTTAACCTTAATTTTGTTTAAAACTCAACCAAACATACTGTGACGCCCTCGTAACTACAACTTTTAGTAATGATGTGCATAAGATGTACATCGACACTTAGGCAACCGGAATTACGGACGCCGCAAGCATTTGTCACCCTTCAAGAATATAATATACGCGTGCCGAGAGGGGGCAGTAGAGTAGAGTCGACAGAGGAGTCTCAATAGTCCAGTGAACATAGTCATAAATTTGCAAGTGTAGTAACAAATTAGTGTGGAAGTAATAAAGTAAACTTTAAATAATAAAAATGATGTTTTTGTTATAATATCACCATGCCTAAATATCTGTGAATAGTGTTTTGTTTTCACTTTGTTTCTTTTCTAATCTTTTTTACTGAATCGACATTAATCCAGTAAAAATATTATAAACATTATGAATTAGGAATGAGCCGTCTCAAATAATGACGAATATTTGCAAATGTTACACATTATGCAAAAAATTCCTAATTTCTTTTTGTTCTTACTCACACAATAAAATCATCTATATCCATAGTTCTTGCCCTCTTTTGATCAGCATTTATACTGGTAAGTACCTTTTCTAACATCTCTTTCATGTTAAAATGTTTAGGCACCTCCTGAAAAAGTAAAAACTAATAAATCATATACAGTAATGGACAAAAGTATATAGACAAATATGAATATCTACCTAAAAATACCTTTAGAAAACGAATTCATACTTCATTGCTCCATAAACAAATGCATTATTAGTAGAAAAACTAAATTCCTTGTTTTTACATTATCTGCAATGAACACAATACAAGTCTGATAATAAGCACTTTTTTATGAGGGACAAAAATATGTAGACAAATTCTTTTCAACATTAGTTTAGTACAGTTTCGTGTCAGAAGAGGATTAGTTTGTGTTCATCAAGTATTGTGGAATAAGTCGAGTGATTTTAACATCATGCCGCGTGGTCCAGAAATTTCTTTCAATGTGAAAACTAAGATCATTGAGTTATACAAAGATGGTCAACGTCAAGTTGACATTGCCAAAAATTTGCGGCTGAAGCGTAAAGCAGTTTGGGCAATATTGAACAAATATAAACAAAAAGGTATCTTGGAAGCCTCTAAGAGAAGTGGTCGGCCTAGAAAACTAAATGCTAGATCAGTTAGATTAATAAAAGTAATTTCGTCCAAAGATCCGTTTAAAACCCCAAGACAAATAAAAGCCGAAATCGAGACAAAAGGAATTGTCAGTGTTTCTACGAAAACTATAAGTAGAAGATTAAATGATTTGAAGTTATTTGCACGTCGCCCGAGTAAGAAGCCGCTAATCTCGAGGAAAAACCGTAAAGACCGATTACAATTTGCACGGTTGGATCTTGATTGGAGCATCTGTGACTGGAAGAGGGTATGTTTCAGTGACGAATCCAAGTTCAGTATGTTTGGATCAGATGGTGTTCATTACGTTAGACGTCCTAGTGGACAAAGATTGAACCCCAAGTAGACTTTGCCCACTGTCAAACACGGAGGCGGGTCTGTTATGGTTTAGGGATGCTTTTCGGGGTTTGGGATGGGACCTTTACATAGAATAGATGGCATTATGGATAAGTTTGTATACACAGACATACTAAAGCATGTCATGTTACCCTATATGAAAGACAATATGCCCTTAAGATCAATCTTCCAGCAAAATAATGACCTGAAGCACACTTGAAATCTGGCAGAGAAATTCTTTCTGGATGAAAAAATACCAGTTCTCAAAAGGCCTTCACAGTCTCCCGACATAAACCCCATTGAAATTCTATGGGAATACTTAGATAAGCAAATGTGAGATAAAAATTATTGAAACAAAGATGAACTTTTTGTTGCTTTAGAGCAAAAGTGGAGACAGATTGATGAATCTTATATCAAGAAACTTCTACAATCTATGCCGAGACAATGCCAGGCGGTGATTGATAATAATGGTTATGCTACAAAATATTAACACAAACATGGTTGGAAAATATTAACACAAACATGGTTGGAAAATATTAACACAAACATGGTTGGTTTTCTATAATTCAATGAACTTTGCTTCTTTTTTCTATAATTATTTTGCTTTGTCTATATATTTTTGTCCTTCATAGTTCCAGTTTTTTTCAATTAATTCTTTATTGAAGGGAGTCTAATGAATTTATTTATGTATAAGTGAGTATAATGCTATAACGAATTATGCATACAGGTTGGTGTATTAATAAAACAAGTTAAAAAAGAAATACAGCACAATATTAATTTGTCTATATACTTTTGTCCATTACTGTATATCAAAAGGTTGTAATTTGGAATATTAACATAGGAAAATTTAGCTATCAGTAAAGTAGAGAAATGTGTTTTTAAGAAGAGAGTGTTCAGGTAATTTCAATTATACCTTGTTATTTAAGCTACAGTGTAGTTTGTAGTTTTTTTCCAACATCGCCACAACAGCCGTTTGTCTGAAAGCACTGCCCAATGTTTTATTCTTCCTAGTAAAGGCAATTCTAGTAAGACCGTCCCACTCCGTATAAGGAATGGGTGGGGGTGGGTTTATAGGTTCTATCCTAACAACAGCAGACTCCACTTTTGGTGGGGGCCGGAAATTATTTTTGCCAACCTGTAATACAATAAAAAATGTAAATTCTAATAATCACACATTTTAAAGGATATGTTACCTTCATTAGCATATGGACTCTTGCCAACAGTTGGGTATTTACTGAAAGACGACAATATAGCTTATCACCAGGTTTAGCTACAAGTCTTTGAGCAAATTCTAGTTGAAACATAAGTATAGCGCATCTACAGAAAGGCCTATGTAGCAGTAATTTGAATACTAAAGGTGATGATATCTGATACGGTATATTTGCCACACAGATATCAAAAAAAGGTAGCTCAGTCTTCAGTACATCTCCAACTAAAATTTGTAACTTTGATTGTAAAGGCGTTCCTTGAACTCGTTTTTGCAATTCAGCAACAAGTCTGGTATCTATTTCGCAGGCTATAACTTTTTTTACTTGCTCCAGTAGTTTTACAGTCATGTTACCAGTACCAGGACCGATTTCGAGACATACATCAGTTGGACGAAGACCCGCTTTTTCCAACATGGATGTAATGATAATGGGGTTCTTAAGGATATGTTGGCCAAAATCCTTGTTGAACAAAATCCCTGGAAATATAATACATTTGTTTTGAAAGAGAAAATGAAAATACACTAAGTACTTACCCTGTTTAGCAATTTCATTATGCACTCTTTTCTTTTTTTCAGCACGTATCTTGGGCATTTTTACCGTTTAAATCTAAAATAATTCTTATCCTATAACGCCAAAGATTATTATTTTCGGTACTTTAATAAGCCTTAAATTGTTTATTTACATACGACTCTGACATTCAGAGAAACACGTGCAATTTATTGGTTATGACATAAGCATCATAATAGACGTTGTCCTGCCTTGACCGTATGTACCGATGAGTAATCGTGATCGTGGTTCTGTGTTATGTAACGGGCTAACATTTGTTAATTAACCAATCTGACGCGGAAGTTTCGTTGCTGGTTGAAGTTTTTTTAAACGATATCGTTTGCTACTTTAATTCCAAAATTTTCTTGATTCTGTGACTGATATTGCCGTAGGAAGTGTACACTGAAAACCAAATACAACTGACGTCGTAATGTGTACGAGACAGAAACAGGAGAATAGTGCAATACATGTGTCAGAAAGAGTAAGAAGCACGTCGTTGCTTAGCTACCAGGTCACGGACGCCATCGCCGCACTCTTTCTAACATACATATTGAACGCTTCCCGCGCTTCTCTCTGGTACACATTACGACGACAGCCAAATCTGAACCTCGCCGAGGTCCAACAAAGGTGTACATAGACTATGCATTAAAGGTACAAAAATTATTGAGAGATACGACAATCTAGATACTTTTTGGCGTGTTCTGCCAATTCGATAAAATCCACGTAACCCCACGAGTTGAACCTTTCTATAAGTACAAAAATGACCCTATTAAATTTATTATTTTTTAGGAGACTACCGAATAGGATCATAAAGCTTATCTTGGTGTATGTCAAAACAATAGTACTGGTGCTGAAGACATTAATTGGGTGATTACCACAGCTCTGCAAGTCATCTCGGCATCTTATTTTTCATTTACACAGTCGCAAGCACGGTTGGCACGTCGAGTAAGATGGTCAATAATCGTTTGTGGCCGGCCTAAAAAGGCCAGTGGCGTAACCACAATAGGGCGAGAGAGGTCAGAATCGTATTTTTGCTTTTTTGTTTTTGCAATATTTCGGTGCGATCTTTAAAAAAGAAGCCTCCACAGTAACAGTGAGACTTTCTCACACATCGAGGACCCTGTAGACGTCAGGTGGACAAAAAGGTAAAACGGATCATGAATTCGGCAAAAACATTCCGTGAACACATCTCTATGGTAAGACTATACATATCGCAAATCGCAAATACTTCATTTCTTACTTTAAAAAGAAAGATTAGGATGTAACTTGCACGAATATATCATTTTTTCTTTAAGGAACCCTCTGCTTGCTATTTTATAGAACTTCAAATTTGCATTTTTGGTGGTAATACTCTAGAATGGAATACTGTTTTATACGATTTTTTTTCGCTTTTTGCACAAAATGATGCTCTAAATTATAAGAATATAACATACATAAAACAAAAAATCGTTGTTTTTTTGCAAAAAAAGGTTCAAAACCAGCCAGTTCAAAATATATACGTAAATGATGGTATTTACTTGGTAAACTGTGTAGAGGTGTTGTGTTGTGTCTTCTTGAAGTTCCTTAACCATTTTTTTCGCATGTTTTCAATGAGATCAAAGTTTTTGTGTTTATAAGAAATATTTGAAAGTACAAACTATTCTGAACGGCCATTTTGTAACGTTCATTTCTTGACAGATAAGATAAATGATGTCCATAGTTGCCAAGTTGTACCTTTGTTGGGAGAAATACGTGATAAAAAATGAGGTTATTTGCAAAATAAAAGTCTTAAATTTATTGTAAATGGCTTGTTTTATAAGAAGTTGACCCAATATTTACCGAAAACTAGGAGAAATTTTGAACAGTATGTATCTAAACAGTGGAAAATGCAGCAGCGGCTCGCGTCACTTTAAATAATTCTTCAAGTATATACATACAAAAAGTAAATAGATTATAACTGTAATATAGGAAAAACAATAACCGAAGTA